CCTAACCTGCAATGCAGCCTATAGCTTCTTTTTTCATGGTCATTTTTGTGCCTCTGTCAGCTAAATATATTTACTAATTAGCCTTGTGTGAAGTCCTCAAGCACGAGGACAACAGCAGGCGAAACCATGATCCACCCAACCTTGAAGCACAGCTTGCACACAGAGATGCAGTGCAGGTTGCACCGTCTGGTTCTTTGGGCAATGCGCTTGGCAGGGTTCGACAGCGCGGCGTCATCGTTGAGTGCAGGCGTCGATATACCGGAGGGCGTCCCCGGAGTGTGCAGTTGCGGGAAAGATGCGTCATCTCCGGAGGGAATCAGCTTCTCCCGGGACGCCACGCTCGCACTCGCTTGTGGCTTCTTCGACTTGGACTTTTTCGTGGTTACAAAGCGAATGACGGTGTACAACTAGCGTGTGATACGCAGTCAGTTTTAGCAACCTCGTAGGCATGACTTCTACGCACCCATTTATTGTCCAATGCTGTCATACTCATGTGCATCTCATAGTGCGCCAGAATAGGGATTTCACGGATGAACTTAACGTGAGTCGTTATGTGAAGGGGGCGTAAACGACACGGGCGCACCAGATTGCGATGCAGCACGTACCTCCTAAAGACATCCATCCTCCCGCCCGGAAGAACATAGGACATATCTTCAGTGCAGCACAGAAGCGCCCAGCGTCGAGTTGCTAGCGTCTCCCATCTTTCCTTGCGGCTGCTTGCTAATTTCTGAGAATATTCAATGCGCAAGGGGGTGGACGAGACGGCAGTGGATGCGTTGTACTACAGTGGTCCGATCCCGGTTTTATACGTGTGTATCTCACAATAAACTCCAGAGATGCCAAAGAAATGGCAAAAGGAGCGAATGAAAGGAGTAGACTGGGGCTTGATGACGTACAAACACACCAGGCCAATGCTCGTTCAATCTTTGATGAACTCGCACGATGTAATTCCTGCCGAAAACGACGGCGCGTCGTATTGTACATGTTTTATATAACTTTCCTCTACACACCGTAGCGAATGAGAAAACCATACAGTCGAGAATCGCAAACAACACACCTTAGTTCTATTCAAATTCCCACCCATTCGTCGACCTTCTCCCACACATTCCGGATCTCTTCGTCCCACTCCTCGCGCTTCGCCGCACAGCATTCCTTGCACACGCCTCTGTCCTCCCAGCGCACCGCTTGTATCTTCCTCAGAGTCTCGATAGGGCGACAGAGCCCATTGTCCATCAAGGCCGGCGAGATTACATCTGGCATCCACGCTTCCGCAAATACGTCCGTGCATGTCATGTGTCCCGCTGTCGCAACCGTAAAGAGGATGGGTGTGAAATGGGTGATGAGATGCTCCTGCAGCACTGCACAGCGGTCCGTGACCGATCTTGGAAGCGACGGATGCGTCGAGTCGGGCTCAAAATGAGAAGTCGTAGCGACGCTGTAGTATAGTGCCTTTCGTACCTGCGGCAGGAGGTCAGCAGACCATCTGCGTAGTCTCGTATGCGCCACGCACCGATGGGATGTCGTGTTCCACTGCAAGGCCCAATGCCTCTTCTGGATTTTCTGGCGTGATGAAGTTCACGATCCCTGGTTCCGGTTCTAGGAGCATGCGAAACCGTTCACGGGCGAGGATGTGGATAGTGGGGAATCTGAGGGACTTGTCAGATGTTACGCGTAGCAAAGATGATACCGCGGATAGTGGAGCAGAGTCTATTGGTCTTGTAAAGGTGTAGTGATGTCACGGAGCGCAAAAGAGCCAGAGCAGGGGATAAGATGGTGCAGACGATACAGGCGAGCAGTAGGACGTACACATCGTGATACAGGTGCTCCAGCAAAGCTGTAAAGTCTCTTGGGGTCGCCAAGCCTTCTGATATCTCGACCGTTGGCGGGTCTCTAGTTTCGGCTCTTGTGCTTTGCGAGACAGGCAGCGACTCAAAGATAGAGGAGTGCCTGCTTAAGAGGGATTTGTGAAGTCTGAAGCGTTCCCTTGCAACTGCAATGATGATGGAACCATCGTCAAACCAAAACGCGGATGGCTGCGACGAGGTGCGCGCGCGTTCGTGGTCTATGGAAGAAGATGCCGGAAGGACGTCGTTGGCCATGGTTGAGATCGA